ACACACACACACACACACTGACTTTTCAACATCTTCTTTTATTTGTTATACAGGAGGAGATGGGCTATTTAGGACTAAGCAATTTCCAAGTAAATTGAATAAATGGGATGTTTAAAATGCACACAAAGTAACCCTAAAATAATCTATACTTTTCACAACATTGCGAGAAGCCTGGGGCTGCACACGAAGACGTGTGTTCAGTAGCAATTTATACAAACTATCCAAACTTAAGTCCATTTCTTCTCCTATACAGCCCCGTCTCCCAAACTCACAAACCAAACCATGGTGCCTGGGGATGAGAGAGAGAGAGAGCTGGCAGGGTAGGGAGTGGGGGAAGACATTGATTGAAAGCAAGGCATCAGGAGAGCTCCTGCCTCTGATTCTGGGTTATTTGAATCAAGGGAGCTCATTTGGCCTCAAGCACTTAATCATTTCGATCCTCTTTCTGGTTTTATTTTGAGACATTAGAGGAAAGAGTCACCACGGAAAATGAAGAGGGACTTTTTCTCTTTCTAGCTGTTGCTCTGGATTCCCTTAGTCAATGCCCAATGCATATGTTGTGCCAGATGGCTTCCACTCTTGGTGGCCGATTCAGCTGCTCAAGAACATGGTTGTGCTTAACCTCATCAATTTGACTCTGCTTCAGTTCATCCTGGGGTAGGATTGTGATACCAATCAGTTTAATTAGTTTAATGAGGGCTCAGGGAACTGGTCCACATTTTGAGTTTGTTGCACAGAACAAATTGGTTTGCCTCGCTCCCTCCTTGATCATTTCAGCATTTAGAAGGAGAACTGCTGTCAATGCCCCGCTTAGGAAAAGAATTTTCACTCCTGTCTTCTATGGGGCAGTTCAGCTCTGTCACATGGGATTGCTGTGTGTCAGAATGGATCTCACAGCATCTAGCAATAACAACCTCTTCTGTGAGGAGTTAAGTGCTGACCAAGTACCAATAAGAAGTGGAATCAAAAAGTCAGTTCTTCAAGTGTTATGTTTCTACACGATGTTGTAGTTAAGTGTCATCTAGTTGATTAAGATGTTGTTGTTAAGTACCATCAAATTGCTTATGACTCACAGCGACCCTCTATAGGGTTTCCAAGGAGCAACTGGTAGGTTTGAACCACTGACCTTGCAGTTAACAGTCTAGTGCTTCTCCTACAGCACCACACCACGATTCCTTCTACATAATGACAACTCTGAATACACTAACTTGGTATTTAGCCTAATGGACATGTGAAATCTCTAGTGTAAGAATTTCTGCTCCAATAAAAGGCAACATCTGAGCTTTTTGTTAAGTGTGGTTTTCAGAGTGGGCTACTCAAGGAGGTTCGTTGAGGTTTGGGAGTAAACTATTAGGATTTCATTTATTATCATCTATCTTGATAATCACAAAGTCAGTGGTTCAAACCTACCAGTTGCATTTCAGAAACCCTATACAAGGTATTTATGAATCAGAACCAGCTTGACAGCAATCAGCAACAAGGAGCTTTGGTAGCGTAGTGGTTACGAATTGGGCTGCAAACCGTAAGGTCAGCAGTTCGAAACTACCAGCTGCTCTGCAGGAGAAAGATGAGCCTTTCTGCTCCCATGAAGATTTACAGCCTTGGAAACCCTGTACAGGATCGCTATGGGTCGGAAGCGACTCAACGGCACTTAACAACAACAACAACAACATCTTGATAATCACAAAGTCAGGGGTTCAAACCTACCAGTTGCATCTCAGAAACCCTATACAGGGTATTTATGAATCAGAACCAGCTTGACAGCAATCAGCAACAATAGCTTGTTGTACAAGTAAGATCAGTTAATAAAATTATTATTCAGATTTGTGCCCTAGCCACTAATGCCAAAGATGAAGAAATCGAACATTTCTGTTTATCAATTTCTGTAGTCTGAAATTGATGAAACATGCAGTCAAGACACTTTGATAATTACTGGTGATTGGAATGTGAAAATTGGAAGCAGAAAATGATCAGAAGTTGCAAAGTATGACTGGTAATAGAAACAACACTCAAGATCACATGATAGAATTTTGCAAGGCCAATAACTTATCCACTGAAGACCATTTTTCAACAACATAAATGGTTACCACACATGTGGCTCTAGCTAGATGAAATACAAAGGAATCAAAACTCTGAAAAAGATGATAGAGAAGCTCAAGGCCGTCAGTCAAAACAAGGCCAGATGCCAACTTGTGCTCATATACAAGTTCAAGTTGAAGCTGAAGAAAATTATAAGAGGTCCATGAGAGTCAAAATATGCCCTTGAGTATATTCCATCTGAATTTAGAGACTGTCTCAAGAATAGATTTGACACATTGAACATTAATGATCCAAGACCAGATAAGCTGTGGGATGACATCAAGGATATCATACATGAAGACAAAGGAAAAAAATGTCAAAAGAGACTTAAAGCAATCGGAAGAGATGATGAAGCAAAAGAGCTGAACAGAAGATTTAAATGGGTGGTTCAAGAGGACAAAGTAAAATATTATAATGAAATGTGCAAAGACCTGGAGTTAGAAAACCAAAAGGGAAGAACACATTCAGCATTTCTTAAGCTGAAAGAACTGAAGGAAAAATTCCAGCTTCAAGTTGTAATATTAAGAGATTCTATGGGTAAAATGTTAAATGATGCAGGAAACATCAAAAGAAGATGAAAGGAATACACAGAATGCCTGTACCAAAAAGAATTGGTTGATGTTCAACCATTTCAGGAGGTAGCTAGCATATGACCAAGAATCTATGGTAATGAAGGAAGAAGTCCAAGATGCACTGAAAGCATTGGGGAAAAAAAATAAAACAAAAAACCAGAGCTCCAGGAATTGACAGAATACCAATTGAGATATTCCAACAAACAGATGCAATGCTGAAAAGCATTCTCACCTATGCCAAGAAATTTGAAAGACAGCTACCTGTGCAACCATCTAGAAACGTGCCCATTCCAAAGAAAGGTGATCCAATAGAATGTAGAAATTATCTAACAATATCATTAATATCACAAGCAAGTAAAATTATGCTGAAGATAATTTTTAAAAAGTTGCACCAATACATCAACAAGGAGCTGCCAGAAACCCAAGTCAGATTCAGAAGAGGACATGAATGAGGGATATCCTTGTTGTCAGATAGATCTTGGCTGAAAGCAGAGAATGCCAAAAAGACATTATCTGTGTTTTGTTGACTATAAAAAGGCATTAGACTGTATGGATAATAACAGATTACTAGTAACACTGCAAAGAATGAAAATTCCAGAACACTTAATTGCACTCATATGGAACCTACATAAATCGAGAGGCAGTTATGTGAACAGAACACGAGAACACTGTAGGGTTGAAAGTCAGCGTAGGTGTGTATTAGGGTTGTATCATTTCATTTCACCACCCTTATTTAATCTGTTTGCTGAGCAAATAATCTGAGAAGCTGATCTATATGAAGAAAAAGGTGACATCAGGATTGAAGGAAGACTCATTAATAACTTGTGATTTGCAGATGACACAACCTTGCTTGCTGAAAGTGACGAGAACTTGAAGCACTTATTGATGAAGATCAAAGACAACAGCCTTTAGTCTGGATAACACCTCAACATAAGGAAAACAAAATCCTCACAACTGGACCATAAGCAACCTCATGGTAAATGAAGAAAAGATTGAAGTTGTCAAGGATTTCATTATACTTGAATCCACAATCAATACCCAATGGAGCAACAGTAAAGAAACCAAACGACATATTGTACTGGGCAAATGTGCTACAAAAGACTTCTTTAAAGTGTTAAAAAAATCAAAGTTGTCACCTGGAGGACAAATACCAAGCATGCTATTTTTCAACACGTTACATGTATCTGAAAACTGAACAATGAATATGGAAGATTGAAGAAAAATTGATGCATTTAAATTGAGGTGTTGGTGAGTACTATTGAATATATCATGAACTGTCAGAGAATACTCTTTAGATGCCAGGATGGTCAGAGTGCATCTCACGTACTTTGGACATGTCATCAGGAGGAAGCAGTTCCTGGAGAAGGACATCATGCTTAGTAAAGTAAAGGGTCAGTGAAAAAGAGGAAGACCACCAACAAGATGGGCTAAAATAGTGGCTGCAGCAATGGGCTGAAACACAGTAATAGGATTAGGTTGTATTTCGTTCTGTTGTACATTCTGTTTCATTATGAGTTGGAATTGACTCAATGGCACCTAACAACAACATCTTATTATGCTCCATTTCTACCTTTTGCATGTTTTATGATGCATGTATGTCATATCCAAATGAATCTATGAGGAGGCTTCCAAAAGTTCATGGAAAAATTCCATTACCTTTTCATTCCATTTCCCCACAAACTTTCTGAAGCCCCTGAGTCTTTGTAGTTTGGAGGGCTTCTCATGTTTCTTCTGAAAAATATCATAGGATCAGTTTGGGGTTCACAGATCTAGAAGTTATGAAATGTAAGCCACTCTGAATCATTGGAATTGGGGGGTCATATGAACAGGATGGAGGATTGATATCAAAAGTTGGTTATGGTCTGACAATCTCTAAGCCTATGGACTGGAGGGAGGGGACATCCTTCCTTCCTCATCACTGACCCCAGAAGAGAAATAGGCTGGGTTTGGATGTTCTGTAGAAAGTTCTGGACTGAGCACACACAGTGGGATGGGTACATACAGGAAGATGACTCAATGCACTCCAATTTGGAAAGACGTCAGGGGTAGCTCCGAGCTCCATTTCCAACTCATGATGGGGAAAGTGTTTACACACCAAAAGGCTCTCCAGAGTAGGCATTGGGGTCTTCCTGGGACCGAGTCACCACCTTGAACTGACGCCGGAGAAAGCCACCATAGCGCTTCTGGTTGGCCCACTTGAGCTTAGGACGGATGCGTCGCAAAAAGCCTCCATAACGTTTGTACAGGTCTTCGTGGGCTGTCGGATTCCCATCCCTGTCTCCCTCCCCAGCCACCTCTGAGCTTCTCTTGGGGTATTTGCGCAAGAAGCCCCCATAGCGTTTGACCTCCTCCTTGGGGTCTTCCTCATCAGATTCAAGTGCCTCCACCTCCATCATACCATCTTCTGGCTGTGCACCCCCAATGCTCTCAGACTCTGATTCTTCCCCAAACCTGCCTGCAATACCCCTGAGTTTCTCATCCAGGCTCTGGCTCAGAGAATTCTCCCTTGCTGGGATGCTAGGGAGGGCTTTGTTTTTCAACAGCTTCTTCAGGAAGGGCCCAGAGTGCTTGGCTAGCTCACTGTAGGGATTTTCCAAAATGTCCTTGTTCTCCAGGTCTTCCTTGTCATTGAGCCCCAGCGTGAGGGAGGTGAAAACAGACAGGAAGCCCTGGCATCTCTCCCACTCCCCAGAGAGCAGCAGGGAGGTCTGACATTCCAGGGAGCAAACCTGCAAGAGACCCAACAAGACCATAGTACTCATGGAACCCCCATTACATTGCATGCACTCTTCCCACCCTGGAGAGTCCCTGTCCAGTGTCTAAGGAAACCAAAAATCAGTTTCTATTGCTAACTAAGCACAAGGCTACCCACTCTGATGTTCCCAATGATGCTTAAAGGGAAGTGATTTTGTGCCCCTGTTGGAGAAGAGGAATCAAACTTAGAGAGAGTCCCCAAGGGTACATGCCTACAGGTGGCAATGCACGAATCAGAAGTAAGTTCTTCCCATAGTGCTCTGCTGTGCTCACTCATCCTCTCCTCTGATTCCCAAAGGGAGTTGGTTGGTTCTCCCAAACTTCCCCAGGTGTGAAGGGTGCTGCACATTTTGTAGTTAGGGACTGAAGCAATGCAGAATGGTAGAAATAACACATGTGAGGGGACACAGGAGGGTTCCTTAAACCCAGGCAGGAGGTGGGGGGCACAGTTGTATCCACTTCACAGAGGTGCCGGGAAAATCCAGTTATGATGATGACAATGTTAATGGCATAGTACTGCACAGAGCCAGGTTCTGGTCCAAGTGCTTCAAATACAACTCTAGGAGACTGGAACTACCATTAGTCCCATTGAACAGAAGACAACATGCAGGCACAAAACCTTACTGCTATCAAGTTCATAGCAACTCTGTTAGACAGAGTAGAATGGTCCCATAGGACTCCTTGAGTAGTAAATCCTTATAGAAGCAGACTGCCACATTTTTCTACCCCAGAACTACTGGTGAGTTTGAACCACTGACCATTTGATTAGCAGGCAAGCACTTAGCTACTGTGCCACCAGGGCTCAGAAAGGTTCAGTAACTTTCCCAAGGTCAACTGCCAACAGAGTTTACGAGGGATAATACAAGAACTTGTGCTCAGGCAGTCTAATGCCCTGAGTTCTTACACTTAACCGCTGTGATCCCCTGAACACTTGGACAGCACTTGGTGTGTTGTGTGTATCTTAGTAAACAGTAGCTAGCATTATGTATCAAATACTTTCCATCCTTTTTTCATGGAATCATCTTTATATGGCCCATGAAGGCACTGAGCTTCCCAGTGCCAGAGAGCAGGCTCCCAGGCCAGGGAACTAGAAAGTGGCAGAACTAAAGTCTCTGATCTGTGCACCACACTTTGCAGCCTAGACTTCAGCCTTTCCACTGTCATGAGGGAGGCAAGTGGGGAAGTGTGACTCAAAACAGAACCAATACCAGCCCAAGAGATACTGAGATTCAGGAGATGGGTCAAAGCTTTGATTCGGTCTCCCAGACTCTGGCATTTAAGGTGTGGAGAGACCTCCTTCCATGGTAGCAACTGGATTTGGAGGTGCCCTTTAAACAGTAGATGGAAGCCCTGAGAAGTCCTCCGTGGGCTGCCTATTCCCAGAGTTAATACCATTGAATGGATGGCATTCCCTGTTGCTGAGCATCAGGGTCCCTGGAAACTTGAGCCTTGTGCTGGACCTGAGTGAACCCCTGGTGGGGAGACCTGAGTGGGGTTGGAGCTAGAAACAGTGGTCCCTGGGAAACAGGCTGTCCATGGGGCTGGACAAACCCAGCCCAGATGGGATGAATGTACAAGAAAGGAACCAGCATCCCTGATGGCCAGTCCCTGATGACCCAGGACCTGGACATTAAGGACCCTGTCTGAAACCTACCAGGGGGTTGATGGGCCAGGGCCCATCCTGAGTCTTCACTGCACACAAGGAACATGTGGACAGGCAATCCGCATCCACAGACGGGAGCATGAGGAGGCAAGCAGCCAGCAGTAGCCCCTGCCAGGTCATTCTGCTTCTGCTGAGGAGGGAAAAGAGAAGATGGACATACCCATTAGTACCTACTCTGGGGGTGTGCGCTGCACCTCATTAACTCGTGCCGGCAGCACCACAAGGAGAGCATTCTTGTTTCCCATCTACAGTTGAGAAAACAGAGGCCCAGAGAGGTGAAGTAGGTGGCCCAGGCCCAGGGTCAAGGAAGGGCAGAAGCAGATCTCAGGTACGACAGGTATGGCACCTGCCTTGGGTGCCACTTGAAGCGGGGCATCACTGGGCAGTTTCTATTAACCACCATAGTTTCCATTAGCTGTGGGAGACTGTTGTTGTTGTT